AAGGTCAAAACCAATGGTACAATTAAATGACCCCCTCTGCCCTGGTCAACTTTTATCTAAACCATTTTTTTGTAGATACCGTAATTTGGAAGATATTCGGGTCCATAGATTAAAATGACTCACCCTGTATATCGGGCATGTCCTATATACACATACACATTTGTTACTTACTATTTTTGTATATGAATCGAGAACACTTTGTATTATTATAATTTTATATATATAGCATATTATGAATTAAAGACGAATCAAAGTTAGAAGTTGCGCGAGTTAGCTGAGGCCGTGGGCATCTCAAAAGAACGGGCGGGATACATTTTGCACGATCTTTTGGAGATGAAAAAGCTATCGGCGCGATGGGTGCCGCGTTTGCCGACCGTCGACCAAAAACAGCAGCGCGTTGATGATTCAACGGCGGGTTTGGCGTTGTTGCAGCGTAATCGAGCGGATTTTTTTCAACGTTTTGTGACGATGGATGAAACGTGGTTCCATTACCATACGTCTGAATCCAATAGGCAGTCTGCAGAGTGGCTGGAAAGCCACGAAAGCCGACTAAAGCGGCCAAAAGACCAACGCTCGGCCGGGAAGGTTATGGCCTCCGTTTTTTGGGATGCGCATGGCATAATCTTCATCGATTACCTGCAGAAGGAAAGAACAGTTACGGGAGAGTATTATGCAGCGTTATTGGACAAACTGAACGACGAAATAAACAAAAAAAACGGCCCCATATGGCAAAGAAAAAAGTTCTGTACCATCACGATAACGCACCGTCACACAGGTCCTTGAAAGCGAAGGCCAAATTGGACCAATTACGATTCGAATTGGTTGCTCACCCACCGTATTCTCCAGACTTGCCTCCAGCGACCATTATCTGTTCCCAAACCTCAAGCGGTAGCTCCAGGAAAAGAGATTCAAATCAAATGAGGAAGTCATCGCGGAAACCGAGGCGTATTTCGAAGGCTTGGACGTTTCGTACTACAGAAAGGGCATCGAAATGTTGGAAAATCGCTATACCAAGTGTATCGCCCTCGAAGGCATCTATTTGAGGAATAAATATAACTTTGCCTAAAAAACGCTTGTTTTCATTAAAAATCCCGGGACTTTTCAACCCATGTAGTATTATTGCCTACAGCTCGATTGCCTACATACGCTTTTGCGCACAAATAAAAATTTTAGAAACGGAGTTACTTTTGCCTACATGTACTATTACCTACATGTTACTGTTACAGAAATTTTGTCTGCAGCAACCCTAATCCCATTCTACATTAGACGTAAGCCGATCGCAAGTTTGTGGCGCCAGCCAATCTGAAGCTTACATTTTGAAATCAACGTTTCAGACTGGCTGTCGCAATAAACTTACTATCCGCTTGCGTCTAATATAAAATGGGCTTTATAAAGATGCGCGTGTAAAATACGGCTGGACATTTTTTTTTTATATACGTAATTTTTGCGGTTATAAAAGTTTGTAAGGATACACTAGAGTCCTATATATAGAGAGAGAAGCGACATCGAACTCCCACCACCAGATCGGATCGCAACCATCACTCCCTACGCCGCCATGTTTCGACCGCTAAAGTGTCGTAAACATAAATATACTCCAACCTCTAATTCTGATGATTTTGATGTGAATAACAAGGATGAAGTGATTCTCTGTGTCATAACTTAGTTGAATGCATGTTCCTTTTGCATTCTGACAAGTGAGACACAACTGAAGTCGGCGGCCACATGTGTCGCGGTCACATGTGCAGCTACATGTAATCAGCTGCGGTCACGATAAGGCTGCTTCTTAGGAAAGGATACCTAGAGGCCTAGATACCAGAGATGCGACATTGCGTCGGTTGGGTTAGGTTATCATCGCCATTTTAATTCAGTATAAGTACTTATAACCATAAGGTGCCTTTTCATGCTGAGGTCGACGCTCGTTTTCAGCTGTTTTCAGCATCAAAATATTTCACAATTCAAGACCAAAATTGACGCTTGATATTCGCCAATTTCTATTACGTAATTTATTTCGACGCCGAAAATGAGCGACGAACGTCGGCATGAAAAGGCACCTTTATAAGCTTATGACAGCTGATGCATTACATGAGGAAAGTTAAATTGTAAAGGCCTTGGCAAATAGAAAAACTTAAGATGTATGACTTAAGCAGTAAGGAAATCAATATGTTGGATTCGCTAAAACCTAATGTCCACGATACTAGAGATCTCAAACAGAGAAAAAATTAACAAATCACATTTGAACAATTTGATCACATGACCATTGTAATTGGTCAATTCTTTCTTCATCCGAGGTCTCGGACCGATTTCTAGCATCGTGGACATTAGATTTTAGCGAATCCAACATATTGATTTCCTTACTGCTTAAGTTATACGTCTTAAGTTTTTCTGTGGACACAAGGCTTAAGTCCGCAAACACAATAGAGTAGTAGGGAGGATCCCGTTTGCCTACAGTTCTGATTGTACACACCACTCCTATCAACTGGTGTCTAGTAATTTTTCACTGTTTTGCCAATGAGATTATTTTATTTTTAAATTGACCAATCAGCGATACATGTGTGCAATATACGATGTGTGCAATAGGAGCCCTCCCAGAATAGTAAGCCTTAAGCCTTAAGAAATTGATCAATCACAGTTGAATGTGAGAAGAATAATCGACTATGATTGGTTAATTCCTTAAGACTTAAAGCTTACTACTCTATTGTGTTTGCGGACTAATGCTTACGTATGGTCTTATGGTCTCTATTGTGATTGGTCGATTCGCTCACTGCTTAGGTCTTACGCCTTAAGTTTTTTTATGTGCCATGGCCTTTAGAAAAAGGAGAAAGTATAGTACGTACTTGTAGTACGTAATAGTATATACATACTTAATAGTATATACATTAAACGTATGTACATACATTATTATAGACTCTATACGTAGAGTCCTAGAACTCTAATCATACGCAGTAATGAATTAAAATGGCACTCTAATCACGTGATTAAGACAGCCAATCAGACCATACCTTTCAATGTCGCAATTGGACACGAGCCACTCACAGCGCTTGAGACTACAAAGCTCCTAAGCACCGATCGCTGTGATTGGTGGTGTCCAATCAAGTCGTAATCAATCGGGATCACCCCGTCGCATCTATGTTATCTAGGCTAGAGTCCTAGATTTATCAGACAGGCGCAACCGGTGTTATGCATTCTGATTCGTTGTTGCAATCTGACCAACAACGTGACTTGGCAGCCATATATAGTACTAGTGACATATTTCTATTTCATTTTATCCTATACATTCTATCGCACATTATCCTACACGTCTTATCTTGTTTGACATAGTTTAAAGGCAGTTTCATAGCATGTCGGCCACGTTTAGTACTCTCCTTAGCACCTTTGTCATACTGAATTAAGCCGGTTGCGCCTCTCTGATAAATCTAGGACTCTAATCTAGGCCTGTAGATACACCCCAACCCGGTAAAAAATTGTTTATTAACGAATATGTGTAAATATGTCTAAACATATACAAACACGTATAAATATTCATAAATATGTATAATTATATGTGAAATATGTTCATACATATTCATACATCCTTTTTTCTTTTGTAAAATTACTTTTTAGTATAATAAAAATAGTAATAATAATGCGAAAACATAAAAAAATAATTAAAGGGATAATTTTCGCATGTAGGCAATACTACATGTAAACAAAAGTAACTATGTTTCTAAAATTTTCATTAGTTCGCAAAAGTGCTTGTAGGCAATCGAGCTGTATGCAATAGTACATGTAGGCAATAGTACATGTAGGCAAAAGTAATTCCATTTCTAAAATTTTTATTTGTGCGCAAAAACGCATTTAGGGTATCGAGCTGTAGGCAATCGAGCTGTAGGCAAGCGAGCTGTACGCAATAGTACATGTAGGCAAAAGTAACTCCGTTTCTAAAATTTTATTTGTGCGCAAAGGCGCATGTAGGCAATCGAGCTGTAGGCAATCGAACTGTAGACAATAGTACACGTAAGCAAAAGTGACTTTCTTTCTAAAATTGTTATTTATGCGCAAAAGCGCATGTAGGTAATCGAGCAGTAGGCAATCGAGCTGTAGGCAATCGAGCTGTAGGCAACAGTACATGTAGGCAACATTGCACGTAGGCAAAAGTAACTCCGTTTCTAAAATTTTTATTTGTGCGCAAAAGTGCATGTAGGCAATCGAACTGTAGGCACTCGAACTGTAGGCAATATTACATGTAGGCAATTGTAACTCCGTTTCTAAAATTTTTATTTGTGCGCAAAAGCGCATGTAGGCAATCGAGCTGTTGGCAATCGAGCTGTAGGCAATAGAGCTATAGGCAATAGTACTTGTAGGCAAAAGTAACTCCGTTTCTAAAATTTTTATTTGTGTGCAAAAGCACATGTAGGCAATCGAGCTGTAGGCAATAGTACATGTATAGGCAATAGTACATGTAGGCAAAAGTAACGCCGTTTCTAAAATTTTTATTTGTGTGTAAAAGCGCATGTAGGCAATCGAGCAGTAGGCAATCGAGCTGTAAGCAATCGAGCTGTAGGCAATAGTACATGTAGGTAATAGTGCACGTAGGCAAAAGTAACTCCGTTTCTAAAATTTTTATTTGTGCGCAAAAGCGCATGTAGGCAATCGAGCACTAGGCAATCGAGCTGTAGGCAATCGAGCTGTAGGCAATAGTACTTGTAGGCAAAAGTAACTCCGTTTCTAAAATTTTTATTTGTGCGCAAAAGCGCATGTAGGCAATCGAGCTGTAGGCAATAGTACATGTAGACAATAGTACATGTAGGCAAAAGTAACTCCGTTTCTAACATTTTTATTTGTGCGCAAAAGCGCATGTAGGCAATCGAGCTGTTGGCAGTAATACATGTAGGCAATCGAACTGTAGGCAAAAATGATGTAGACAAAAGATACTGTAGGCAATCAATTTGTAGGCAAAAGCAACCATCTCAACAAAAAGCGCGTGTATCAGTGCTCCTCGTCCTGACTAGTGTCGTTAATTTCCCGGGAAATTTAAAGAACCTATCTTTCCCGGAATTTGTCCGTGGAAAAAACCTGGAACTGGGAAAAAACGGTTTTTTACTGTAAGTAATTATAAAAATATCAAATCTTTAGCACACACAAAATAAATTTATATCTTAACCTTGGAAGATGGCATCTGATATTAATTTCTTGAATGGAATGTTAAAAAGTACAAAATATAACAGCTTACAATAAAAAGAAGGCACAAATAATAATAATATCAATAGTGACTATTTTCCAGCTAGGACACAGAATATTACACTATGGTCCACTGTGTATAAGGTACTTGTTAAAACGCAGTTTAATTTCATAGGGTAACACCAGAATGCATTGTAGTCTTCCATTCTTATTCTTATAATTATATTTAGCGTATCAATAATAAATTTATGATTTTTATTTAGACTTAAGTTATAATTTTTTCAGAATTGACGATTTTTGAAAGTTTTATTGCAAAATAAGTACGTCTACCAAATAACTTTTTTGAAAAGTTGGTAACATGTACGTATTTTACACGTTTACTACTTAGCTTTTTACAGTGTTGAGCAGTGTAACACTGTGTCATATTTGGAACACTTTGCGTAAGACACAGTGATTACACTGTGTCACCTGTATACGTTGTTGGAAAACACCCAATATATGTTTTTACAGTATAAGTTATTTAGATTAAGTTAAAGAAACAAGTTGCTATATTTAAAAAATTGTAAAAAACGTTCTCTTAACATAGTGTGTACATACATACATCAAGTTTGTGTGGAACAAAGAGCAACATAAAATAAAAGAGAAATTAAAAATAAAATTTTAGTAGTTATACATATAACACTTGAAAATATCTTACAACCATAGGCCATAGATATAAGTATTATAGATACTATAGATAATTAAGATAACTGATACGCGTTTATTCGTATTAACTGATAGTATGGTTATTGTCGCCAATGTCGCCATATGTAAAAAAATACAGTGGCCACGGGTTCTTTCCTTCAAAACGTGGAAAGAATCGTTTTTCGTTCCCGTTCTTTCCCAGGTTTTTTCCCTGGTTCTTTTCCGGTTCTTTTCCTCTCTCGCAACACTAGTCCTGACGAAATAAACAGTAAAGTCCGCGAAACGGCTTTAGTAATGAACCACGACACGGCGATAACCCGCAAACCCTTTGACACCCCTTAAAGAAAATATCCGTGAAAGCCTCAAAAGTATTATGAATTAAAGAAATCTATTAATTTAGCCAATAATTTTTATTTTAAAAAAGCATATTTTATTAGAAAATCTATTTTAATGCGAAAAATTTACTTAAAATTATGATATAAAAATTTTATAAATCTATATACACAATAATAAATATGTGTGTATTTACATTTATATACGCGGCATAAAAATGATATTTATTATCTTCACAAATATTTTGAAAAACATTAAATTTTAAGTCATATTTTTGATCAATTTGCACTTATTTTATAAATATTAAATACAAAATAGTACGGCATTAAAATACAAAAGTCCGCGTTGTAGTCAAAATAATGTAATAGATTGAGGATGTTTTTTTACACCGCATTTTTTTAACATGCTTGTGCATTTTAATTTTATCATGTTGTATCACGAAACAGAAATAAATATTTTATTAATTAATTTATTTATTTGCAAGTTATACGTTTTTTTATAGATTCAATTAACATGAGGCCGCATTCAACAACCGAAGAAAAGAAAAATAAATTTCTGATGACTGAGAGGAGAGAAAAAATTATAAATACGACTGGAACGATCGTCAATAATCATCGATACTGCAACAAATTCGTCAACAAGCTTTCTAATAATTCTCCCAAGAAAACTGGTCGTTTGACAAGAATGTTTAATCATATCGCAGACTTGTCGAGCAATGGACGGATAGAAGTGGAAAACAAAAGAGATAACATGAATTCTTATAGCGAAAATATTAGAAATAGTAAAATGGATCAGATCGATGTGACTGTCTCGCAATTGACACCAGAGAAAACAACGCAGAATGAAAAGACATTTGCTTTAAAAATGACAAATATTTCCGTGCCGCGCTTGGATGTAAAAAAAGAAAAGGAGAGGAAGTTTTTCTCTAGATTACCCATAAGAACGTGGAAACGCCTAAGAACAAAAGAACCTACCACATTGCGTCCTGAGAGCGATACAACGAACAAAGATAAAGTAAATGTCTCAATAACTGAATATGCCTAGCTATTAAAATCAACATCTATTTGCAATTATAAAGATATTTGTTAATAACAGCGTTAAAAAAATGAAGTTAAATATTTTGTATTTGCAAAATAAGTAACAAATATATGGGGCATTCTTTCTCAAATCAGCCACCCCCCTGCGCATTTTATTTTTAAAGATAAAATTTTTTTCGAAGCGTCAAAATTTCCGCCTAAACCTCAATTTTTTGATGCCGTATGGTGTTTTTTATTTCCTTCTTATGGGTGTGACCATACGTTAAAAATAATGCTCAGTGTTGCGTAGGCTGTTGTGTACGAGGCCCTCGAGTACCCCCGTGACCGTGATAAGCATCTTCTACTTTAGCAAAGCAGATCATGATAAAATGAGGAGAAAACTAAATAAGAGATTTGAAAATGCTCCATCTGTTCCGGAAATAAACAAAAACCATGCTATTCTTGTTTCTTCACATGAACCGAACAAGCAAGTTATCATTAAAAGATTTTCCAATGCTCAAAATGGGATCGAATGGTACCCGTATGAAAAAATACGAAGAATTAATACATAGTGCGACACACACACCCACACAAACACACACGCACACACACACGGACGCACACACGGACGCACACACACATACACGCACGCACGCACACAAATACTAACGGCCTTTATCAGGGCCACATGATGTGCAAAATCCAATCGGCTACCTCCACGTGGTGCACATCGGGTAAAGCTAAAGTCGGTGTACGTGATCTTAGCTGATGTCATGAACTTTTAAAAGACATATCTAGGTCGCGAGTATCTTTTATCCTAATTAAATCATTAAAAAAAAAGCTCTCTAAACGTTATTTTTGCATTTTTCAAGTATTTTGGTAAGTCTGAGCATTATTTTTAACGTATGGTCACACCCATAAGAAGGAAATAAAAAACACCATACGGCATCAAAAAATTGAGGTTTAGGCGGAAATTTTGACGCTTCGAAAAAAATTTTATCTTTAAAAATAAAATGCGCAAGGGGGTGGCTGATTTGAGAAAGAATGCCCCATATATAATTCTGATTGCAAATTATTGCGAAAAGAATTATCTCCTTCAAATTTTGCAGAAGCAATCATATTTTCATTCATTTTCTTGCCATCTTGAGTCAATCATTTCAAATTTCTTTAAAACATTGTACTGTATTTAAACATATAGTGTTTTTTATTATTATAAGAAACTGAAAATCTTAAAAAATTTATTTTATTAGAATTTCAGTTACTGATACAATTACAATGTTGTAATAATCAATGAAATTTTATTTAAGTGTTCCTTTTTTAAATTTATATAATAATACTTTTAATATATTTAACATATTTAATATTTGTTGATCATCAACAAAACAGTTTCATATGGCTTCATTAATTCCTTTAATAGTATAATAATAATAAGGGCTCTCAATAAACAAAATAATATTATCACAAATTAACGAACAAACTAATAAGTTTTTACAGACTCCTCTAATTAGAACAATTAATAAAATCATGAAATATATAATACAGGCAATAGGAGTCGACGCTGGTTATCAATTAGCGCAATTTTTCTTAATACTAAAAATGTAAACCTTAACTTTGAATGTTTCCACTTATGGTTTGAGTCTTCATCAGCAATCTTTCACCCTAGCGCAACGATTGGAGTATTGCATGACAAAATGATATCTCCAATGTTTTTTATCTCAAAAATTGAAACGTTTACTGTTGTGAGGTAAGTCACATACTCACAAAGTTAGAAAGCTGAGTGGCAATGAGAATTCAAGCTCACACAGTCGACGCTTCTACACTGAACAATGAATCTCTCTTATGTAACATTTTGTAACTCGTTAATATGTTATAAATTATCATCAAATTTAAAAAAAATAACTGCGAGAATAATATGTGTCTTATCATTTCGACAGTCGGTTAAATAATGATTGCTAAACAAGCAACATAGCGATCAATTTGAAGACAAACAAGTTTATGACATATATTATATTACGAACAAGCCTTAAAGTTTATTGAGAATTTCAATATATGCATGATTTAAATCAATGGTATCATTTTGTAGATTCAGCCCATTGGTTTGTCGATTAATATGCATCATCTCTGATTTTAACCTATTATTATAATAATTTTCTACATCCAATATCTCTACGTTTTGCCAATCAAAGTCATGATCGTTTTGCAATCTATGTTCTGTGATCGCTGAATGAGTGGATGTTTCACTATGGATATGCTTTTTGTGTTCAGAAAGTCTGGTTTTTAATTTTCTCCCTGTTTTTCCCACGTAGGAAGCATCGCAATTACGACAGTTGATTTTGTAGACTACATTTATTTTTAATTCATCGTTTAAAGGATCTTTATGAACTTTAATAAATTGATTCAGCTTGTTCAAACTAAAAAATGAAACCCTATGGCAAACCCCATTAATTGCATTCTTGAATTTATTAGATATTTCTTCCAAATAAGGTATGGAAAATCATTTAACACGTTCTTTAGGTAAATTGTTGTTTGTTTTTTTAGATGAACAAGAATTTAATTTATTTATTAATGTTTTAACTCTTTTTTTTTCATTAATGTTATCGAATATAAAATTTAATGGATAATCGTTTTCCAAAAATATCCTAACGACAAATTCAAGATTCTTTTTATGAAATTGTGGATGTGAGATATAAAAAACTTTATCCCCCCCCCCCCCCAAGTTGAATATTATGCCCTTCTTTTGCAAGATTGGATGTTGAGACAAAAAATTCAAAAATCTTCCCGAAAACGTTGGTTTTTGATACCAATCAAACATTAATGAGTTATTTTTTAAAATTATAGTTGTGTCCAAAAAATTGATAGAATTACTAACCACTTCCAAGGTGAATTGTAACTTTGGATGGAATGAATTCAATTTTTTAAGAATAGAATCAATTTTAGAATTCGGTAAACACAGAACGATATCGTCTACATATCTGTAATAAAATGGTATATGATATTGAATATTGCTCAACACACAATTCTCTAAAAATCTATCATAACTAAGTTAGCAACAATCGGAGAAAGCGCTGAACCCATAGGCGTTCCAAAAGTCTGTAAAATTGATTGTCAAAAGTGAAAAAAGTCGAATCCAACACTAGGCGAACAGCCTTGATAAATTCATTTTTCGGTAAATTACAATTCTTGCAAATAAAGTCCCATCTATTGGAAAGAGCGTCTATTACTAGATCCGTTGGAATGTTAGTATAGAGTGAAATTACATCCAAAGACACTAAACTAAAACCATTATCAATTTTAATGTTTTTTAAATTTTTAACTAATTCAAAACTGTTCTCGATGTTACTAGCCGCTTTAGGAATGCTTTTGACAATCAACCTGTGTAAGAACGCTGCCAAATTATATAATGTACTATCCAACGAGAATATGATGATTCTAAATGGGCAATTTAGTTTATGCACTTTTGGCAACGCATAAGCCCTAGGGATGTTACCATCACTATAATAGAGTTGTTTGTAGATTAATTCCAAAACGTAATTTTGTTTTTTCCATCCTGCCAACAATTGCTTCAAGTTATTGTTAATTTTACTCGTAGGATCCTTGAGAATTTTCATGTACGTGTCTTCATCATCAAGCATTGTTTTAACTTTTTCAATATATATGTTTTTGTCTAGTGCTACCGTTAAGTTGCCTTTGTCAGCTTTAGTGAAAATAATATTACTATTGTCCTTTAAAAATTGCTTGGTTAACTGCTTGGTTAATTGCCGTGTTCCTTTTTGTAATTTTTTGATAACAAAATTCTTTTTTTATTTGAGAGAAAATAGGCTATTTATTATTGCAATAGAATTATTTCTAACTGAGTTGTGTATAGACGTCTGTAATTTTTTTATATTGATTAAATTCAACATTTTTTATGAGTTTAAAAATTAATTTGCTATTGTAACAAATGGGAAGAGAGAATTCCACCTAATTGCAAAAAGCATTAAACATACTCATTGTCAGGAATAGAAACCGATGAAAGGTTTGTGAACCATTTACCCCTTAAACATGACAATGAACATTTATTATTTTTAAATTCATTCGGAGCGACAGTAACCTCAACCAAGTTGTATCCCTCCGAAGGTGTGGCCCTTTTATTGTGAAACAACTGACCAACGCCATTGTCACTATCGTGTACTGATGATGGTTTCAACCAAAAGTACTCAATGCTCTTTATCTCTGCATTCTTTTCCTCTTTTCTTTAAAATTTAGCCAAGCAATTTTCTTGTTAATCTTTTTTCTTTCAAGTAAGAATTCGTTATATATCTTTTTGTCTTGAGATTGAAAAAAATCATTTAATATATTCATAGGAATTCGCCTTGAAGCAGTGCGAGCAAGATGGAAAGTTCTATTTCTCGCGATATTAATCGACAAATATGCATCATTAAGTTCCACCTTAAGAATTCTTTTAATGTAATTATCACGAATATTATTAAACTTATTTGTTGAAGATTTCTTCAAATCAAGATTTGGAGTGAACTTAATGATTCTGTATAAATGTGAAGGCACAATCTTTCTATTAATACAGTTTTTTGTAAATCTAACCCGATTCATGTTATTATAAATTAATTTCCGTTGTTTGATCCATTCTTTCGATAAATTGCAATAATAAATTCCAAACACACAATGAATAAAATTTAAAAATGATCTATGTTGTTCACCCTTTTTTCAGCCTCGCGTAATTAACAATGATAAATCACAAATTAACGAAAAAACTAATAAGTTTTACGGACTCCTATAATTAGAACAATTAATAAAATCATGAAATATATAATACAGGCAATAGGAGTCGACGCTGGTTATCAATTAGCGCAATTTTTCTTAATACTAAAAATGTAAACCTTAACTTTGAACGTTTCCACTCATGGTTTGAGTCTTCTTCAGCAATCTTTTACCCTAGCGCAACGATTGGAGTATTGCATGACAAAATGATATATCCAACGTTTTTCATCTCAAAAATTGAACCGTTTACTGTTGTGAAGTAAGTCACATACTCACAAAGTTAGAAAGCTGAGTGGTAATGAGAACTCAAGCTCACACAGTCATATGTGGTAATTCTATCAATTTTTTGGACACAACTATAATTTTAAAAAATAACTCATTAATATTTGATTCGTATCAAAAACCAACGTTTTCGGGAAGATTTTTGAATATTTTGTCTCAACATCCAATTTCGCAAAAGAAGGGCATAATATTCAATTTGGGGGGGGGGGGGGATAAAGTTTTTTATATCTTACATCCACAATTTCACAAAAAGAATCTTGAATTTGTTATTAGGATACTTTTGGAAAACGATTATCCATTAAATTTTATATATTCGATAATATATTAATGAAAAAAAGAAAAAGAGTTAAAACATCAATAAATAAACTGAATTCTTGTTCATCTAAAAAAACAAACAACAATTTACCTAAAGAACGTGTTAAATGGTTTTCCATACCTTATTTAGAAGAAATATCTAATAAATTCAAGAATGCAATTAATGGGGTTTGCCATAGGGTTTCATTTTTTAGTTTGAACAAGCTGAATCAATTTATTAAAGTTCATAAAGATCCTTTAAACGATGAATTAAAAAGAAATGTAGTGTACAAGATCATCTGTCGTGATTGCGATGTTTCCTATGTGGGACAAACAGGGAGAAAATTAAAAACCAGACTTTCTGAACACAAAAATCATATCCATAGTAAAACATCCACTCATTCAGTGATCACAGAACATAGGTTGCAAAACGATCATGACTTTGATTGGCAAAACGTAGAGATATTGGATGTAGAAAATTATTATAATAAAAGATTAATATCAGAGATGATGCATATTAATCGACAAACCAATGGACTGAATCTACAAAATGATACCATTGGTTTAAATCATGCGTCCATTGAAATTCTCAATAAACTTTAAGGCTTGTTCGTAATATAATATATGTCATAAACTTGTTTGTCTTCAAATTGACCGCTATGTTACTTGTTTAGCAATCATTATTTAACCGACTGTCGAAATGACAAAACACATATTATTCTCGCAGTTATTTTTTTTAAATTTGACGATAATTTATAACATATTAATGAGTTACAAAATGTTACATAAGAGAGATTCATTGTTCAGTGTAGAAGCGTCGACTGTGTGAGCTTGAGTTCTCATTGCTACTCAGCTTTCTAACTTTGTGAGTATGTGACTTACCTCACAACAGTAAACGGTTCAATTTTTGAGATGAAAAACGTTGGAGATATCATTTTATCATGCAATACTCCAATCATTGCGCTTAACGTGAAAGATTGCTGATGAAGACTCAAACTATGAGTGGAAACGTTCAAAGTTAAGGTTTACATTTTTAGTATTAAGAAAAATTGCGCTAATTGATAACCAGCGTCGACTCCTATTACCTGTATTACATATTTCATGATTTTATTAAAATAGCATTAATATAAAATCAGGCAAATAAGAGCTAGAACACAGTTATTATTTGTGTCTAATTATACAAAATTTTTTCCTCCTTTAATTCATACATTCTAAAAACAAAAAATCAACATTTCGGATGTTATTTGCAACCATCTTCAGGATAATACAAAATATACTCTTAAAATCCAATAATTCGCAAACAATATAAAAATTTGTATCCAATTATTCTTAATTAAACAGGAGAATGCAAGTACAACTTCTCAAAATCTCGAGTAGTTCCTTATTAGAATGTGAGAACAGCTCTTCATACTCAATATCAAAATTGTTATGTACTAAATGGCAAAATAAAATAATTATAAAAACACGTATTCTATTGTATAAAAAGATTGACATTAATCAACTCACCGGTTTTCAGAAATGGTTCTCTCATTCTGTTATAAAATTTCTTTTAAAAATTCATGTAACTTAGTAAAGTCGTTAAACATGTGTTTACATCAGCGTCAGAAACACAATTAAGAATACATAAAAGATATAGGTCAATAAGACAACAAATATATAGAAATAGCACAATCCAACAAACATTGCATTACAAATATAATACCAATAACATAATTGTTAATTAAATTGGCTGAGAATTGATCTTTTGTTTTTAGAATGTATGAATTGAAGGAAGAAAAAAATTTTGTATAATTAGACACAAATAATAACTGTGTTCTCTAGCTCTTATTTGCCTGATTTTATATTAATATTATTTTCCTTTTATGGTGCTTCTAACTAATAAATCAATAATAATATAGAACTAATCTTACCTTCCTATTAATTCACTGATTGGGACATTTATCTTGTTAACCAAAAGCTCCAGAAAGTGGAAAACGAAACTGCAAAATTGAACAATCATACAGAGAAGACAGAAAACGATGACGTTCACACAAAAGATCGCGCAACCACACTAAATAACGATATAAAATGGAGCAGGCGTTTTAGAACAGGATCGCTCAATGTTAATAAACCAGGATTGACTTCCTTCGATTTGAAGAGCATGAAAAAAATCAAAGACTTGAACTCGACAAGAACATACGAGCAATGGAAGAAGAGGACGAGCATCAAGTAGAAATCTCACAAAATATCTCGGGACAAAAAATACAAAATATAATTTATACTTTCAATCGAAGTCTATATTAAAGATTCAATCTTTTTCGATTTACGTTTCGTCGGTTCATGCCGCAAATAGCAATTACGTGCAGTACAGTAATTGTGAGAGAAATGTTTGATACATATAATTATTTATTTTTTGTATGTCACATTTTTAATATGTGACTAACAAAAACTTTCTTCCTTTTTCATTTAAAAGTTATGTTTTAATCAAAATTTGGTTATTTTATCTAAAAATCTTTTAGAACAACACAATGTTTTAATGAAAAAGTAAGAAAGTTTTTGTTAGTCACAACATATTTACAAAATAAATAGTTATATGTGTATCAAAGCATTTCTTTCAGTGTAAATCTGCATGAGAAGAACGTTATGCTAAAATATCTAAACATTTAGCTAGATACAGATTTGAAAATAATTTTATTGACTATTAAAATAATATACGATACTTAAACATAATGAGCAATGCTGCAAAATGTTTTGATAGTCTAGCAGCTACCTTGAACGTCCTGTATAATTTTTTGGTGGTCTAACAGAATTATTTTCATATCATCTGTATTTAGGTATAGCTAAATTTTTAGACACTTTAACAAAACCGAATTTTCTATAGGAAAAATAAAGCAGTATTATTTGATCGCCCTTCACAGCACCTTTTCGATCGATATCATTCTATATATCTGCATTTCGGTCGAGTAAGAGAAAAAAAACACCGACTCGATTAGGAACACGCAACCACATGGAACAAGACGCACATAATTGTGCGCGTGTAATGGGGCCGTTGGGTTACCTCAAAAGAAGACCCCACCCGAATGATACCAATTATGCCATCAACGTACCACGCGTATGTTCCCCTCTGTCGACGATTCTCTGTCACAGCACAGTCACTTCACCCGCATGTCACAACCCCCGCTTGCATAACCACCCTAAAGTAGAGCGCCTCGTATAATATCGCGTCGCGATTCTCGCTGGGGTCCGCTGCGCGCGCGATCTCAGAGAGAGATCAGAGAGGGAGAAACGGGGAAGAAATATTGTAATTGTCCATATTTGCCCTTGCACCCGGTAGCGTACTCAAACAACAACATAAAACACCCCCTCCAGAGACACCCCCGTATAGACGCGACATCGATTTAATCCGGACACGCTCAAATATTTTCATTTTGTCGCTTCGCAACGATGTCACACCCTCTGTCTTTCCTCTTCCGAATTAATCTTTTTATATTTATTAAATATGTATGTAAATTCACATCGAAATATTATTTAAGCATTAATTAAGATCCAGACCAATAACCCAGGCCTTTTCATTACTTATTAAATATTTTCACTAATTTGAATTTTTATTTGTACTGATGATGGAAACGATAAGCATGATGACGATAACATCGATATATCTATACAATTTTATTGAAATAATCTATAAGTTTAACTAGACATAGATTGGAAAACAATTTTGTTAGATTATCAAAATATTTACATAGAAAACTCAAGCATGATGAACAATGCTGCAAAAAATGTTTATGTTGTAGCAACCAGCTTGAGCGTTTTACATAATTATTTTGATAGTGTAACAAAATTATTTTCCAATATAATCTTTTATACAGATTTTCTTGTATGAATTCTTTTTCTTTCTTGTTTACAATATTATAAAAATCGCTGAAATTATGCCAATTGTCGCTCCTACTTCTTACATTTTACCTCGTTCCGATCGTCCTAGTCATCAGAGAGATAGGAATGCGAGGACAACGAGACAGCGAGAAGCCGAAAAACGGGGCGACAACGGAAGAGAAGTGGTGAAAGGAGTCGGCGAGTCGCCCCGCGCGGGCAAGCCAAGCCACCCAGCTGGAGGCGGATAATCAAATAAACCTGCACGCACCGTATAAATTATCAATCAGGGCGCGATTGTGCAACCCCAACAGAGGGAGCCATCCGTGTCGGTAAGGGTTGTTACATCGACGTCGCCGCCAAGGGTGAGGGGTTGAGAGGGGACGACAACGGCGAACGCGTGTGTGCGTCCGACGTTCGTCGCCGTCGCCGTCGCCGTCGTGTCGAATGACCCCGCAACAGTTATCTTCCCCGCATACGTGGGCGTGCGTGAACGTGAGTTCACGCCCCGCAGCTCTGAGGGACAGGAGAGACCAAGGGATGACGCGTGCACGTGCGTGAGGGAGAGAATTGCCATCGCGTAAGGTGTTTTTGTGTCGCGCCTTGTGCACGTGTGCACAAGATCTTGGCGGATATGCAGTCGCGAAGCAGAAAAGGATGACGTTGAGTTTAATGATTGTCCCATCGAGGGAGACGGATGAAGATTTGATACGTATCTCAAATTCCACATCACTTTTTAACCTCTGTTGCATAGATGGCGGATAGGAATGATAGGGGAAAGTCGCCTATATCGTACACCCTAACGTTTAAACAAAATTGTAAACAAAAGTACTGAAGATATCAGAATATTTCTGTACTTAAATTAAACTTTGGTTCGTTAGCAATAAAACAAAACAATACTTTTGCGAAAATAAACATTAAATTATTGTTTAAATTAGATTTTTAAAAAAGTTTTCGATACGATTTGGAGATCGTTAAATTGTACCACCTGGTTCCTAAATCGTACTTCTAATATACCAAACAAGCTGACATTGTCATTTTTACATTAAAATAACATCTTTAACATCAAAATGACGGTAAATAACGTCAGTTTGTTTACTGAGAAAATAAGTAAAATTAATTTTAAAAATTATTTATTAATAAATTTATTTTTAATTTCAAACTGAGTATACATATTTAAGTAGGTATAATAAAAACTTTTCTATTATAAAAACAGAAATTAGACTCTGTTTTTTAAACTCATTTAAGAAAATAAAGTAAAAAGCAATACTTAAATTGATTTAAGTTAATATTGTATTATATTTCAGAATATTAAAATCTCAGATATTTAAAAAAAATAAATTTTGGAAATAAAATCAATTACGGATTTTTCCGCCACAACAGAAAAGATTCAATAGAAAGACTCAATAGAAAAATTTAATAGAAAGGCTCAATAGTTGATAAGTAATCACTTTCTCGAGCGCTTATTTAAATAGTTTTGGTAAATGTCAGGATTGGCACAGGTTTCATGCAACCACTTAGAGCACCTGACACACTGAATTCAGTCCACTGTAGGTCCTTTTTTATCATAATATTAACCCCCACATATTGCTCACGTCACTTGCGAAAATCGTACCGGTACAATATAAAGACTATAACGACAAGTATGATTTACCCAAATCCCTCTATTTTTACAAATTTGCCAATAGCAACATAACTTACAAATATTTTGATGCTATACTCGAAAAGAGTTTAAATATCAATTATAACCCTGAAGGACACTATAATTCAATTACCCACCTTGTACTGATAATGCCTTAGGTAAATTGTATCAAAACTTAGATCAGACACCGAACAAAATCAATTTTGAATGTCACTCGAATCGTAAACAGACAAGACAAAACAAAAATGATAGTTCTTAATCCATATTATCAGCGTTACCACAGTGTCATTATCTTTAAAAAAAAATGTTTTCTTTAGAAAATACAATGGAGGTACGATTTAACCGTCGGTACGACTTAGCCAACTCTCCCCTATA